ACTTTAACTAAATGAATAATGTTATTTTATGTAATTAATCTATATGTAATTAATTTATCTTCGAATTAATACGATATTGTTAATAATTATTGTAACAATTAAATAAAAGTAGTAAAAATAAAAACACTAAATAATTTGAAATTTAAAGCATTTATTAGCGACATCTCTTATTTCGAAACGCAACTAATTTCAACAAAAAATGTTAATTAAATAAAAAAAATTATTTTATCTACAACTATTGAATTATCTATTCGTTAATCCCATTCAGTCGACGACTTACCTTATTTTAATTGTCTCTCTAGTTCATTACAGTTTTCTTATAAATGTGATGAATTTTTTGACGTAAGTTAATTTAATTCTTTTTGTAGAATAATTTTGGCACGTGAGTATTTTTGTAAGGTTTCTACTGAAGTGCCCCTCTTCATTGTAATATTTAAAGAAAAATAGTAAAAATTAAAACACTAAATAATTTGAAGTATTTATTAGCGACATCTCTTATTTCGAAACGTAATTAATTTTAACAAATAAAACGATATTTAAATAAAAAAAAATTATTTTGTTATTAATTTTGATTCTAATTAATTAATCTTCGAATTATTACGATATTGTTATTAATTATTGCAATATTTAAATAAAAATTGTAAAAATTAAAACATTAAATAATTTGAAGTATTTATTAGCGACATCTCTTATTTCGAAACGCAATTAATTTTAACATATAAAACGTTAACTAAATAAAAAAAGATATTTTAGATAATTAATTTTGATTCTAATTAATTAATCTCCGAATTATTACGATATTGTTATTAATTACTGCAATATTTAAATAAAAATTGTAGAAATTAAAGCACTAAATAATTTGAAGTATTTATTAGCGACATCTCTTATTTCGAAATGCAACTAATTTTAACAATTAAAACGTTAATAAAATAAAAATTTTTATTTTATGTAATTAATTTTGATTCTAATTAATTTACCTTCGAATTATTAGGATATTGTTAATAATTATTGTAATAATTAAATAAAAATAGTAAAAATTAATTTGAAATTTGAAGTATTTATTAGCGACATCTCTTATTTCAAAACGCAACTAATTTTAACAAATAAAACTTTTATGTAATATTTTTCATGAATTCTATTAATTACTTATAATGCCTTTTATCCAACTGAAGTATGGTGAAATATTTGTGAAAAACGTAGGTACTCCACCATCACATATTGGTTTAGTGGGATTTATTTGTGCAGTAACTAGAACACCTCCTAAATAGTATTTATCGCCAACTCTTTTATAAAACCCACTTCCATCAATTCCACACATTCCTACAACAAAATATTTCTCATAAAACATCCTATTACCCACAGCAGAAACGAAATACTTTTCGATTGAGACGTTGTACAGAATTTATCTGGAGAACGAAGTAGTTCAAAAGTGTCCCGTGGAGATTGATCTTCACAACTTTTTTCATCATGAACCACCACAAAAAATGATTTAGGAATATTCTTCCATAGATCTATTTGGAATATGTTTGTATAGTCTATGACCCCATAGGTTGCTCCCACATCGCCTTTCAGTAAACCATTTTTATCATCAACAAAACAAGCAGGTCTAATTTGTAAATTATTCCCAAAATTTCGTACAGTAGCAATGGCAATGTCAGAGAGANTACCATTCTAGAAATAAAATTGAATTAATAAAGTTTTTTAGGTGTTGTTGGAAAGCGTCGCGATTTATAATAAGAACAGATTTAATTAATACACAAGAAATTTAAATAACGAAATGTTAAACAACAAAAAACACATCAAATTTTAACTTAATCACTTAAATATGCAGAATGACATAAACAAACACAACAGAAGTTCATAATTCAGAGTTGCCAACGTATTATATTTTTAATGTCATTATAAAAACTCCTTTTTTATAATGATTTATTATAGAGGTAAACAGAGTATTATAAAATAAATATCATTAATCAATAATAAATTAAAATCAATTAGAATAAAATTTTAAAGAATTTGCAGGAAACATCACGTATTAATAATACCTAGCGACATCTCTTGCTGAATAGTAATATTAATTTTTAATACAAAGTTAATTAAATATATTGTTTATAATAATAATTATATAAATTAAATTAAAGTTTATATTAATATAAAATAAAATAAACGTAAAATAAACATTATCTATTTTACCAACTTATCTATCTGTCACGGTTGTCACGTTCAAATAAAAATAAACGACGTGACATTTAACGATTAAAACGTCAATCAAATAAATTTTATTTTGTGTAATTAAATTTGATTCTAATTAGTTTATCTTTGAATTATTACAATATTGTTATTAATTATTGTAATATTTAAATAAGAATAGTAACAATTAAAATACTAAAAATTTGAAGTATTTATTAGCGACATCTCTTATTTCAAAACGCAACTAATTTTAGCAAATAAAACGTTAATTAAATAAAAAAAATTATTTTATGTTATTAATTTTGATTCTAATTAATTTATCTTCGAATTATTACGATATTGTTAATAATTATTGTAATATTTAAATAAAAATAGTAAAAATTAAAACACTAAATAATTTGAAATATTTATTAGCGGCATCTCTTATTTCAAAATGCAACGAATTATAATAAATAAAACTTTAACTAAATGAAAAATGTTATTTTATGTAATTAATCTGTATGTAATTAATTTATCTTGGAATTATTACGATATTGTTAATAATTATTGTAATAATTAAATAAAAGTAGTAAAAATTAAAACACTAAATAATTTGAAATTTGAAGCATTTATTAGCGACATCTCTTATTTCGAAACGCAACTAATTTTAACAAATAAAATGTAAATTCAATAAAAAAAATTATTTTATCTACAACTATTGAATTATCTATTCGTTAATCCCATTCAGTCGACGACTTTACCTTATTTTAATTTTGGCTCTAATTCATTACAGTTTACTTATAAATGTGATGAATTTTTGACGTAAGTTAATTTAATTCTTTTTGTAGAACAATTTTGAAATGTGAGTATATGTTCATTGTAATATTTAAAGAAAAATTGTAAAAATTAAAACACTAAATAATTTGAAGTATTTATTAGCGACATCTCTTATTTCAAAACGCAACTAA